GAAGCTGATATGTAGTAAGAAAATGTAAACGAGAAACCCATTTATGAAACTTACTGTATCTGTGTATCCACTTTCGGTCATTACTTAGGCCGTTAGGCGTAACCGAGGGTTTTGGAACACTATCCACGTAAAACTTTTATGTTTGCCACAAAAACACTTGAATGATTGCTCGAGCTTAATAGTGGATAATAGTTAGTTAGTTTAGTGGATAATAATAAAATGATCATTCAGTCCTTCAACTCACGTCAAAATCACATACCCATTTTGTAATTTGTTTTCTTTTAGTATGGAATAAATAGAACAATGAGTACATATATCTAGATAATAGTCGATTTCTACACACAGACACACACAAAAATATGGATTATCTTCCTGAGTGGATAAGAATAAACTAATTCAATTAAAAATTGTCCGGACGTCAAAACCAAAGTGATTTCAAAATCGTTTCTCTGTATTCTAGCTACATAACACGAGTAAAACTATAAGGCTAGAAAAGATAGTAGATTATTATCAAATTGGGTTATTATTTTCTAGCTAGAAAGAACTGTATTTACTAATCTAGGATTTCAAACATAATGACAATGTTCATCCTTCTTCAACTTCCGTCGAAATCAAAAATCTATTTTATCAAATTTATTTTCTGTATTCATATTAAAACTTAGTTACAAAATAGTAGATTCCTACACACACATACACACACAAATTATTATTTTTTAATTCTCAACATATGCCGTAATTTGCCTTTCTTTTTGGTTATATTATTTAATATAAGTACGTAATATTTTATAGCCAATGATTGTCTTATCTTTAGTGAGAAACGCATATGGTACCCATCCACCCACTGTTACTCCTCACAACAAATCTAAATTTATATTAAATGTTATGTATGCACACACATATACATATAATGTGTATATAGAGATGCATGCATGTATGCGTCTATATATAGATCTATAAAGCTTTACAAAAGTGCTTCCTCTAGAAGAAGCGACAAATACGCAGAGAAATCCAAACCGAAAGTGGTTTTGTGACAGAAAGAAAGCTCTTGAAGATCCAACCAAATTCTACATTTGCTATTCTTCTCTTTTTCTTTTCTTCTTCTCTTTCTTCTTCTGAGTGGTCCTATTGTTTCTTGGATCATAAGAGAGAGAGAAAGAGTTATTGATGGATGAAGATGGAAACTTGCAGATTGCTAATAGTAATTACAATGGAGAAGAAGAAGCAGATCCCGAGAATAACACTATGAACCAACCTCTCCTTAAGAGACATAGAACTCTTTCTTCAACTCCTCTTGCTTTGGTCGGTACCAAGGTTTCACACATCGAGAGCTTAGATTATGAGTATGTCTTCTTTTTCTAACAGATTTAGATTCTTGGTCTCAATCTTTTTCTATAAAGATTTAATCTTACTCTGTTTTCAGATAATCATCATTTCATTTTTTTTTTTAATTTTAAAAATGGATTGATTCTGGGTCTCAATTTATTTCTATAAAGTTTTAATCTCCATTTTCTTATTTTTAGAACATAGATTTTATTTTTTGGTAAAAAAATTGGATGGATATATTAGTGATGCGGACAGATGAACTGTTGTGGTGTTTCACTTTTCACTCACATCTTCAATTTTCCGCAAGCAATCATCATCCAAATCTTAAAAACAAAAAAAATCAAGATCAAGAAAAATTTTGGTAAAAAAAAAAGATCAAGAAATTGGGATACCTTTTTGTTTTTAGTGTATGATAAGTCTTGGTCTCCGAATCTTTTTAGAAAGTTTAGTCTTTACTCTGTTTTCAGATAAACTTCATTTTGTATAAACAATTGGTGGATAATATATTCAGTGATGGAGACATATGAACTGTTGTAATAATTCTGTAGAAATGTTTAAAAAATTTGTGATATCTGCAGAATAAACGAGAATGATCTGTTCAAGCATGACTGGAGAAGCAGATCGAAGGCACAAGTGTATCAATACATATTCGCAAAATGGACATTAGCTTGTCTTGTTGGTCTCTTAACTGGTCTCATCGCTACACTCATCAACCTCGCAGTCGAAAACATCGCCGGTTACAAACTTCTCGCCGTTGGCTACTACATCGGTCAAGATAGGTACTGACCTACAATCCAAATCTTGAAAAACAAACACTCAAGATCAAGAAACTGAGTTACCTTGTCTAATAAGTCTATGTTGAAATAGGTATGTGACAGGTCTGTTGATCTTTACCGGGGCCAATTTGGGCCTGACTTTGGTGGCGACAGTGCTTGTTGTTGTCTTTGCTCCTACGGCTGCTGGTCCGGGGATTCCTGAGATTAAAGCTTATCTCAATGGCGTCGACACTCCTAATATGTTTGGTGCCACCACAATGTTCGTTAAGGTTTGTTTCTTAAACCTTGTGAACGTTTCATGAGTGAGATCTTTTTGCTTTGGCTCAAGGATTAATGTGGGTTTTCACATAGATTATCGGAAGTATTGGAGCAGTTGCAGCTGGACTTGATCTTGGTAAAGAAGGTCCTTTGGTTCACATAGGAAGCTGCATAGCTTCTTTGCTTGGTCAAGGTGGTCCAGATAACCATAGAATCAAATGGAGATGGCTTCGTTACTTCAACAACGATAGAGATCGAAGAGATCTTATCACATGTGGATCTGCCTCTGGAGTGTGTGCAGCTTTCAGGTCACCAGTAGGAGGAGTGCTCTTCGCTCTTGAAGAAGTAGCTACTTGGTGGAGAAGTGCTCTCTTGTGGAGGACATTCTTCAGCACAGCCGTTGTGGTGGTTGTATTGAGAGCTTTCATTGAGATTTGCAACTCTGGTAAATGCGGGCTTTTTGGTAAAGGAGGACTCATCATGTTTGATGTGAGTCATGTAGAAGTTAGGTACCATGCAGCTGATATAATCCCGGTCACATTGATTGGAGTCTTTGGTGGTATTCTTGGAAGTTTGTATAACCACCTTCTTCATAAAGTTCTCAGGCTTTACAATCTCATTAATCAGTAAGTCTTTATTATGAGTAACAAGAACTTCAAGAAACACACAAAGTTTTTTAGACTTTTACTTAAAAACATTTTCTTGATCAAATTTGTTTTTTCAGGAAAGGTAAGATTCACAAGGTGCTTCTAAGTCTTTCAGTGTCTCTATTCACTTCGGTTTGCTTGTACGGTCTTCCTTTCTTAGCGGAATGCAAACCTTGTAATCCTTCCATAGACGAGCTCTGTCCAACAAACGGAAGATCAGGAAACTTCAAACAGTTCAACTGTCCAAACGGTTATTACAACGATCTTGCGACTCTGTTTCTCACAACCAATGACGATGCAGTTAGAAACGTGTTCTCTTCAAACACTCCTAATGAGTTTGGTATGGTTTCTCTCTGGATATACTTTGGCCTCTACTGCATTTTGGGGCTTATCACATTCGGTATAGCCACACCTTCCGGTCTCTTCTTACCGATCATCCTCATGGGTTCTGCTTATGGTCGGATGCTAGGCACGGTGATGGGATCATACACAAAAATCGATCAAGGGCTTTATGCGGTTCTTGGTGCAGCTTCACTCATGGCTGGTTCCATGAGAATGACTGTCTCACTCTGTGTGATTTTCCTAGAGCTCACCAACAATCTTCTTTTGTTACCCATTACTATGTTTGTGCTTCTGATTGCTAAAACAGTTGGAGACAGCTTCAATCTGAGTATCTACGAGATCATTCTCCATCTGAAGGGTTTACCTTTCTTGGAAGCAAATCCAGAGCCATGGATGAGGAATCTCACTGTAGGTGAGCTTGGTGATGCTAAGCCTCCGGTTATATCCCTTCACGGAGTTGAAAAAGTCGCAAATATAGTGGATGCGCTAAGGAACACAACGCATAACGCATTCCCGGTGTTGGATGGAGAAGATCTAGCTACTGGTGCAGCTACAGAGCTTCATGGGCTGATCTTGAGAGCACATCTTGTTAAAGTTTTGAAAAAGAGATGGTTCTTGAACGAGAAGAGAAGAACAGAAGAGTGGGAAGTTAGAGAAAAGTTCACACCAGTTGAATTAGCTGAGAGAGAAGACAACTTCGACGATGTTGCAATCACGAGCTCAGAGATGCAAATGTATGTTGATCTTCATCCTTTGACCAACACAACACCTTACACAGTGGTTCAGAGTATGTCTGTGGCTAAGGCTTTGGTGCTTTTCCGATCAGTTGGTCTCAGACATTTGTTGGTTGTTCCCAAGATTCAAGCTTCAGGAGTAAGTTTTTTGCTTTTGCTTTTGGTTTCTTCTTTTCTCTCTTGAATGTCATCTTTCAAGAACACTACTAAACTTTGTTTCATGTCTCTTTATGTTTTTGCAGATGTCACCAGTGATAGGGATCTTAACAAGGCAAGATCTAAGGGCTTACAACATTCTACAAGCGTTTCCTCATTTGGATAAACACAAAAGTGGAAAACTTCGATGAGATATTAAGCTTAAAGCTAAGCAAAAGCAGAGAAGTTTCTCACCTTTCTGCTTTTGGTGTGATAGATTGCTTCAGCTTTGGATTTGTGTTTCTTTCCCCCATTCTTGGTGATTCTGTCCAGTTTTGCTTACATTGTTTCCTAGATTTGTGTTTTTCTACATGTAAATCTCTATATATTTTTTTCACCACATATTATTTATAAGAATAAAAGCCATTTGAATACAGAACAAGACTTGAAAGCTTAACTGAAGCTTCCAATGCTCTTTGACGCAACGACTTGAACATTTGTTCGTATGATACATAGAATAGACGACGTCAAGGAATATGCATTAGCCTTAACGAGAAAGATGATCGGAGGACCAAACAGAGGATATTCCGGCGAAAAAAAAAAGAGGAAGAAGGCTCATCGGTGTAAGCAGTCACAGATTTCTATGATCAAATGTATATTTTCTGAAGATAATTTACTAATTTAAATTTCAAATTCAAGTTTTGAATCTTCACTAATTTATCAGTAACTCCTTTTACGGGCACATATATCGTAAATTGTTTCAAAGCAAGAATTCTCAAAATGAATTTAGTAAAGATCATTCAGTTGAATTAAGAATGTAACTCTGTACAAATTATATAAAAAATTATCTTGTGACCAAGATGGCTAAGATATAAAAGAGTTGTAAAACGGCTAAGCTTTGGTGCCAGCTAAGTTCCAAACACGCAGCTTCCCACTCTTGTCTCCACTGAATAACAATCCTTCAGGACCAATTGTGATTGTGCCGACCGTGTGCGTCGAAAACATCTTTCCTCTTTCTTCAAAACTGTTTATAACCCAAAACAAAAACAGAATGAATGAGTAAATGTTGAAGATTAGCGTAGGAATATAAATCAAACAGTCTATAGGAGGAAGCTTCACTTACGATGGTAGATCGACGATGCTGACTGTTCCGTTTTGGTAAGAGCAGAACATGATCGGTTTGCCCTCTGCGTCGTTTATCCCACAAAGCGCATGCACACTCTGTTTCCAGCCATAAAAACCATAGGATATGCTTTTTTTGTTAAAACCAAGTTTGTGTTGTTGTTATGAGGAGAATGGAGCTAAAGTGTATACAAATATTTACCTGTTCTTGTCTGCGCATGTTAGTAACTTTCAAGCTGCCATTTTCAGAACAAGCCCAAACTTTTATGGTTCCATCCAAGGAGGACGAGAACAGATACTGATCCCAACATAACAGCGATGTGACAGTGTCGGTATGTTGCCTTAGGGTCATTGTACATTCCAGTGTGTTGAGATCCCACACCTGAAAAAATTACAGCAAATAGAATTAATTAGAATGCATTCTATAAGATTGTAAGTTTTTACATGTTTAAAGCTTGAAACAATAAGTAAAAGCCACTTCTTACCTTTATCGTTTTATCCACGGAACCAGAGTATAGTCGCTGGCCTCCGACAATAAAACATGTGACTTGACCACTATGATGTCCCTCGAGAGATGTGAGGTATGTGAAAGGATCAGACTCGTTGTCAGTAGCTTTCCAGACTGATATGCTACCAGACTGCAAATCCAGACAAAAACCCATAAGGAACTTACTTTAGATCCAACAAGGAAGCAGAGAGAACTAATACGAGTAGAGGTTGAGTTAAGATGCTTACACTTGTCCCAGCAAAAAGCATTCCATTTCCAACAGTCATAGCATGGACCTGACCAACCACTCCCTTAAGATGCAAATCTATACTGGTTTGGACGTTGAAAGCCTGCAGGATTGTGTATAAACAAAAACTATGAGACCAGAGCCAACACAACAAATCCCACTCATGACTATAGAGGAATGGCACTAGGATAACTGAAAATGTATTTGAGCTAAGAGATGCCTTAAACTAACCTTTACAGCATTTGGCAAGCCAAGGAAAACCCAAGGGCCTTCACTGATTAAAGACCCAGCTTCTGCCTGGAGGTTGATTGTATGAACACTCCGACCAGTATGGCAGTCCCATATTTGCAATGTACCATCGCTACTGGCTGAGAAGAGTTTATCAGAACCCACAGGAAGTGCAATCCCCTTAAGATCCTATGGACCAAAAAAATATGTTTCCTGATTATTCAATAGTAAAACAGCAATGAATACAATTATAACAAATACCACAGAAAAAGTACCTTCTTGTGTCCTTCAAGAGAAGCTACCATGGCTAATCCAGGGAAGCTACACCAAGAGTGTAAGAACTGGCATTGCTCACCCCTCTTGCAATTTCCAGCTTTCCAATACTTACATACACAATCCTTATACGTGGGACTGCCGTTATCTCTCGACCCCCAACCTCTGGTGTCTATAGATGAGCTTCTTGGCCCATTCGAACCATACTTCCTTGGCTGATTGGACACACTATGTCCTGTGCCTGAAGCTGGTGATTTCACTGACCCATAAGTGTTATCATTCTTCCTTGGCCTGTTGCCTTCTGATGCCGTCCAAACCAGATTCCTTGACCACTTATTCGGACCTCTGTTAACTCTGTTTTCATAAGGAACATAGGGTCTTCTCGGAACTATATCTGCTGCAAAATCATGTTGTCTTTCCACTCCGAAATTCCTTCCGTTTGAGTATCTCCTTGGCGCCTTATGATTCATACTATAAACATTGAGAAAACAACTAACTTTAGCAGACTGAACCACAATTTCGAGCTTTGTTGCTTCATCCATGATGATCCACAGAAACTCTCAGAAGAAGAGGATAAAAAGCTCCAATCTTCTGATACCCCAAAAAGCCAAGTATCGTAGAGCACCAAGTCCGCAGATAAACCAAATACATCTAATCTATATACAGAAACCCTAATCTATTGTCACTAAGAACCGAAATATTCCTTCCATTCCAGAAAAGCCATAGATGATCGACGATTCGATGATTTCATAACCGCGAGCGTTCGTACGTATAAACCCCTAACTATAACAGCAATAAAACCCAGCGGATCATCTTGATTCCATCATCCCTATCGGCGAAACCCTAGCTTCCTGAGTAATCGATGCGAATAGGAGGACGAAGATCGAGAAGAAGAAGAAGAAACCCAAATTGAAAGCACGAAGGAATCATCATAATGGCGGAGATTCGTAGACGTAGAAGAGGCAAACCTGAGAGATCAAACGCGTAGGACCTAGATCTTCGAATCGGTAACGCTTTTCAACTGTTTTAGAGAGAAAAAAAGGGAAATCTTTTGACGCCGACGAAGAAGAAGGAACAACTCGAATGAAATAGCTTTTGTCTCGCCAGGGAAACGTGTATTTATAGTCTTGTATTGGGCCCCTAGTGAGGCCCATAATTTCGTGAGCAATTTTTTTTCTGAATTTTAAATTTATCAATCACAAAAACATGTTTAAGACTTTAATCTCAAATACTCTTAATGAGTTTAAAAAATTCTATATACTTCCTTTTTATTCTACATACTCCTCTCTATTTTTTACCTCCCCTTTTTACTTTACTATTTATTTAAAGAAGGACCTCACTCCCTTTAAACCAAATCAATCTCTCACCCCTCACCCATCTCACACCAATTAATTTTAGTTTTATTTTGAACCTACCCAGCCCAACCACCTAACAACAACTAATGTTAATGGGACCCATTCTCTTCTTCTTCTTTCTTTCTTCTTCGTACGTGAAACCAGAAAACAAAAATTTTACAGCTCCCTTGAAGCTTCAGCGATCTTCCTTCGAAACTTTGGAAGCTTCAGCGATCTTCAACCCTTGACAAATACATATCCTGCAGCATTTCTTCAGCTGATCTCGACGACCCAGAACGTGATTTGAAGGTAAATTCTTCTTTTTTCAACAAAAAAACGAGTTTATGCATTTAGGGTTTAGAAATTATGTTTGTGGTTTTTTTCTGTTAGTAAACTTATGTATACGTTTGTTCGGGCTTTACATTGGTTATTTAAGTATACTAGAGTACTAGAATACGTATGAATCTTCAGAAGCGTCGATCTGTAACCAGAAGCTTTTAGTATAACTGGTTTTCCTTAGACAACTGGTGCAACTAGTACTACTGGTGTACAACTATAAATATATTCTAACAGTTTTTATTTTTTCTTTTAACTGAACGATGAGTAACACTCGATGCACAATCATATGTTTTGATTCGGGGGGATGTTATTCAAAGGACGGTGAATACATGAGGTGGAACTCAGAAGAGGTTGAAATTCATACTTTAGTGATTAAGACATCTATGGAAGAGATCACTTACAATGGGCTGGTTGATAAAATTTGCAAAAAGCTTATGGTAGATGGAGCTATGACGCAGCTTAGACTTAGCTACTTTCCACTGATATTGGATCCCAAGAAGCCATCATATGTTCGGAATGATGAAGATGTATTTGGTTATCTAATGCAAGTGAATAATAATCAGTGTAGAAGGGTTTTGCATGTGGAGCTCATCACAGATGTTGAGCAAAATGAGGGATTTGTGCAACCGTCAGAGCCACAACATGGTGATGATGTTAATGATGGTATGGATACTTTTTACAAAGGTGAACCATCAGAACCGCAGAAAGAAGATGTTGTTAGTGAAGATGCTGAAGATGGTGAAGATGGTGAAGATGTTGGAAATAATGTGCATGAAGACTTTGGTATGTATGATGATATTGAGGTGGCACCTGCTGTAGAAGGAGGTGTGTACGTCAATCATACATGGGAAGATGGTATTGATTTAGTTGTAGGACAAGAATTTGGCAAAAAAGAGTCATTACAAGAATTAGTGTTTGTAGCCTCCCGTAAAAATGGTTTTGAGTTTGATATCATCCAGTCAGATACACGTCGATATGTGTTAAAATGTCGTGGAGCAAAAGATGGGTGTAAGTGGTATTTACGAGCTGCAAAGACGAAGAATTCAGATCTTTTCTCAGTTAGAACGTACATCAAGATTCATACATGTTCTCGAGTTACTACAGTTACAAGCAAAAATCGAAGGAAAGGCACACCACAGTTGGTCAGGTCTATTTGCCATTCTGATTATCCAGGCAAACTTAAAACTCCAGCACCACAAGAACTGATTGGTTTGGTTCAAAACGCATTTGGTGTTAAAGTATCATACTCTACTGCATGGAGAGGTAAAAGAGCAGCTGCTAATGATGTGCGGGGAAGTCCAGAGGAGAGTTATCAGTTGTTGCACTCTTATTTGTATATGCTAGAGTACATGAACCCTGGTACATGCACTTATGTGGAATTGGATGAGGGAAACAGGTTTAAGTATCTATTCTTTGCCTTGGGAGCTTGCCTTGAGGGTTTTCAAGTCATGAGAAAAGTGATTGTTGTGGATGCTACCCACCTTAAAAATGCATATGGTGGTGTTTTAATTGTTGCTACAGCTCAGGATCCTGACCATCACCATTATCCAATTGCTTTTGGTGTAGTTGATGGTGAGAAAGAGGCAAGTTGGATGTGGTTTATGAGCAAGTTGAGATCAGTTGTACCAGATGTTCCTGAACTGATTTTTCTTTCTGATAGAAACGTAAGTCTCCTCAAGTTAATACGTGAGGTCTTTCCATTGTCTCAGAATGGTGTTTGTATATATCATTTGTCTCAAAACGTGAAAGGGAATGTCAGTGGAGTCAATAGAGCGACTTGTGCGAAGAAGTTCTGAGCTTGTGCTCATGCTTATACAGAGAATGAATTCTTGACACTATATAGTGCTTTTAGGAAAATGTATCCAGATGCAGCCGACTATCTGGACAGAACTGTTGGTGAGGAGAAATGGGCAAGATGCTATTTTCCCGGAGACAGGTATAACATAGACACCACCAATTGTGCAGAATCTATCAATGGCGTTGTGGTAGAAGCAAGGGAATACTCGCTGTTACCAATGA